GTTTTGGTATTAACAACGATACCAATTTTTCATTAAAAAATGTTGCTTTTCCTGACATCATAATTTGTGTTTATTTATGGAGAGATGTGTATGTATGTGGTGTGTGTGTGTGTGTGTCTGTTTGCAGGGCAGAATAGAAAAATAAAACTTAAGAGTGGGTAGATAGGTATTTCGTTAGAAATATCCCATTTCTTTTGGTATATACAAGCACGCAAAATTTTGGTGTGTCTGAAGATGGAAGACTGACTTGTTAGATACAGTCATAGGTGGCACATTTTTCTGTCGATATGCGGTTCACACTTTGAAATGCTAAAGGACATAGTAGTATTATAATCTCTTGAGAGTGACATAGGTATTAGAATGAGAGATACGATGAGTTGGGCTACTATCATTCTACTTTAATTTCCAACATTAATTTTAAATAATGTTTAATATATGTTGAATGCTGAAAGTAATCATGCTTGAAAGACAACCACTTTCTTTAACTGAATGAAAAATTCTTTAAATCCTGTAGTACTTTACAGTTTTCAAAAGTTTCACTTACATGATTTCATATAATCCCATAATAACCCTTTTTTAAAATCACCTACGCCTATATTGCCCCTCCTTCCTTCCCTCTCCCCACTGGTAACCACTAGTTCTCTATATCCGTGAGTCTTTTTCTGTTGTATTCACTCTTTTGTTGTATTTATTAGATTCCACGTGTAAGTGGTGTCATACAGTATTTGTCTTTCTCTGTCTGATCTATTTCACTTAGCATAATGCCCTCCAAGTCCATCCATGTTACTGCAAAAGGCAAAATTTGGTCTTTTTTAATGGCTGGGAAGCATTCCATTGTGTTTGTGTGTGTGTGTGTGTGTGTGTGTGTGTGTGTGTGTGTATACCAGATCTTTGTATCCATTCATGTGTTGATGGACACTTAGGTTGCTTCCACACCTTGGCAATTGTAAACAATGCTGCTATGAACATTGGGTGCAGATATCTTTTCAAAGTAGCGGTCTTGTTTTTTTCAGAAGTATAACTCAGGAAAGGAAATGCTGGAGCTTATAGTTCTATTTTTAGTTTCTGAGAAATCGCCATGCTGTTTTCCACAGTGGCTGCACCAACTGACGTTCCCGCCAGCTGTGTGCAAGAGTTCCCTTTTGTCCACGTCCTGGTCAGCGTTTGTTGTGTGTGTTCTCTTTGAGGACGGCCATTCTGGCCAGTGTGTGGCGATACCTCGTTGTGGTTTCGATTCGCATTTCTCTGATCATTAGTGGCGCTGAGCATCTTGTTCTGTGTGTTGTTGGCCATCTGGGAGAGACAACTACTTTTGATCATGGGGGTTCTGTGCCTACACGCTGTGACAAAGTCTTGCATTAATTTACTGCTAGTGAGAATTCATTTTCTTCCAAACGCAGATTTGCTGCTGTTGTTGTTCTGATTCTTTAGCTTAAGGAAAGAGAGAGAATTTTAAAAATATTATTCCAAATTTCAGTTTGGAAGATTTTTGGCATTATAAGAAAAACCTCTTGATCTTAATATTCTTGCAGTTCATGGCCACACAGCGCAGCGCTCTGCTTGGTCAGTCACCTCAGTACTAGCACCTAATCTTCTCGAGAACAACAGTGTCTCAAAATGTTAAATTATTTAACAAGCCTCACCGTTTTATCTAATGATCTCACTTTATTCTTAGAATGCATTCTAGGGAAATGTGAAGTAAAGGAAACGTGTGGGAATTCAGCACACTAAGGGATAATAGGGAGCAGAATCTAGTCCTTGAATCTTTATTGACATAAAGTCCCATTAACCGAGTTTTCTATACGTCATTAATTGATTACTATTCTCAGCAATGAATTCTGCTTGGAAAGAGATGGTAATTCATATATTACTGTTCTATTGCCATACCTTCCTTTTGTGTGTCTCCTTTGTGATGACCTTTTATGTGGTTATCATAATTTAATATGTATAAGAATTGTATGAGATGATTATTAAAAATCAAATGGAAACCCTCAGTGCAGGTGTGTTTGTGTTGGGTAAATACTGTGGGAATTTTCTCTTGGGAAGACTCTGTTCAGAGTCATATTTGATAGCCTTATAAAACAGACCAAAGCTCATTTGATGTATAAATTATTAGACAATTGATAGAGTTTGAAACAGTAGAAGTTGTAGAAGTCATAGCAATAATTATTAAGATAACATATTTATATTCATAGTTTTATAGACACATTTATATGCATCATTTCACAGGTATGACTAATTTCATGATAATTTAGTCTGTGTTTATTGATGATTCAGGTGCTCAGTTGGAGATGAAATCCAAAAGACTAGAGAGCTGCACTGAAAACTACCACGAGGTTAACTTCCATTCTTAGCTCTGAATTTTCTTGCCTACTTTAATTTTCTCATTCATATTTTTAGTTCTCCAACATTAAGAATTTCTTGAGAGATTACATAGTCTAGGAATTGACTACACAATGTTGAGAATAATATTTCTATGAAACAAAGAAAGCAAATAAATGTAGACTACTTTTTGAAGTCAAAATAACAGTGACATATGAAAGTTTTAACACAATGTTGTAATTATTTCTTGGGAAGGCACCATAACATTTCAGTGAAAAAGGCACTGTGAAAAATAACAGCTTCCATCAGGATTTTGAGTTAAAAATGTGACAATAGGACAAAAGCATCTTAGCAGTTTCACTCTGGGGGAGATAATGCCTCGTGATGATGTCAACATCCCAATTTAGAGTTTAACTGCCTTGTACTTCCAGTTATGTGAACAAGTCTGATAAAGGATGGGGGTTGCATGTAGTTTTTCCTTGATATGATGTCGTATTTTAAACTAATTGTTTTTTACTGGGCTTCTCTTTTCTTGTTTGGACAAAAAGAACCAAATGAATGGAGTTCAAGGTGGTATAAGAGCAGGTCTTGGTTTAAACCAGAAATTCTGAGCTCATAATCTGAACGTTTGTCTTACTTGCAGGTGACACAGTGAAACCAAAATCCAAAGCTTGTTCGGTCTCTTGGTTCTTTAAGACTGTTTTGGAATTGGTATAATTGGGGGGTTACTTTTTGCTCCTGAGTATGGAGAAAAAAGCAAATAAACTCACCCTTGTCTTGTGAAGCCAAACAGGAAAGCCTGGTTTTAATACTGAATTCCTGTTTTTACAGTTGTTGTGCATCAAATAACTATGGCTTGGGAATAATTCTTTTCATTATTCAAACCCCTTTAGGACACTGTGATGCTGAGAGCTGGCTTTGAAGTTAAGAAAACTTTGGATACAGGTAAGATGTCTGAGAAAACCTGAAAGTGTTAAGTCAGACTAGAACTGGCAGATCAAGGTGAAGTAATAATGGGGAATATTCATTTTGTTGTGAAAGGTGCCAAGATGGTCATGTCAGGACAGCTGATAGGCACTCGGGTTTGTATTCACGCTGTTCAGTCACATGAGGGATCAGGAGAAATTCTCAGGGGCTCTGCCACATTTCTCTCCCGTTATTTTTCTTATTTTAGAACTTTGATTTTGCTTTCAAAAATGCATGAGATGCCTACCTCAGGGCAAACTATCTCACCCCATGTGTCTTATCTGGAAATAGTTGCAGTCTGCAGCTTCTGTAGATAAAGAGATCAACTTGTTTTATATAATATGATATTATTTGGAAAATAACCTTGATTTTTAGATTCAGGACCCAAGGTTTCAAATATTTGCTCTTTCCCTAGGAGTGCCCCATGGATTTAATAGCCACCTATTCCTGGAGCCACCATGCATCTGGGTCCCCTGCTCTCCCTGTCTCTCCCACCCTCTTCCCCATCTTCGTCCTGAAATGTCCTTCCCGCTGCACACCGTGCCGGACTTGAAGGGGACGGACAGCGAACCTTCCTGTTAACAGGGAGATTCGTACACGTCATAGAGCAGTGGTAAAGGCAGGTGAGCACCTACATTAGGCTTTCTTCTTATATAATCAGAAGGATTAAAAATTCAAAAGAGGAACCTTTGGAGAGCAAAACAAAACAGGACCAGTAGACCCTTGTCTGAAATGTTTTGCATCTGGAATAAATGTTTGCAACTTCGTTCTCCTCTCGGGCATCTCCTGTCACAGGGGCAAGTATTCCATAGGAATGTTTTGCTTGAAGAAGCCAGTACAGTTGTTAATTTACTTAGTCTCATTTCATAAAAACTTAAAGGGGCTTGCAAGAAATTACCACAACAAATGTGAAGCCAGGTAGGTAGAGTCTACCACATATGAACTGTTCTCAATTGAGATTGTGGCTCTTTCTGTGTATTTTTTGCTTAATGGAAGTATTTGGTAACACTAAAAAGCCCAACTGGTAACTACTAAACACTTCTAAATTCCTAGAGCTCACTGTAAACTCTGAGTAGCTGTTCTGTTGCTGCCCGATTGGAGGGCGAGATCCACGGTCTGGATGCCAGGATCGATGCTACCATGCATACACTATGAGAGCATGAGAAACGTATTACTCACGTGGAGAGGAGCTCTGGGAACGCAGGGCGGGCAGTCAGGTTGGTGTGAAAATGGCTTGAGAGGTGGGAGAGGCAGATGGCTTTGGTTGTCTTGTGGAGAGGGCGTGGGTGAGGTGAGGGTTCCCAATGTGTGATATGAACTTGGCCCTGATGTTACTGGAAGGAGAGCATGGGGCTTGCTAACTGGGGGCCCAGATGAGGGACTAGAGGAAAAGTGAGAGACATAGGGCTTAAAAGCCGTCAGCGGTCGATCATCAAACTCGGAGTCTAACTCGGTATTGCCAGAGCAGTGAAAATTACACTAGTCCCTTGATGATTATGTCCCCTTTCTTTACCTGCACTGTCATCTGTGTGTTGCTGTCACCTCACTCTGCTTCCTTATTATTTTCATGGAACTGATCCCTGTCGGACGTAGGAGTGTCTTTGTTTATTGTTGCCTCTTCCAGCTGCAGTTGTAGCCCCTGGGAGCTAAGGTGACATCTGTTTGGCTTACTGCTGAATCCTCAGCACCCAGACAGTGCAGGAAGCATAATAGGCACGCAGTAATTTAAGAAATAAACAGATGTCCGTTAGCATTACTAGACCATATGCTCCATGAAGGTAAGACCGTGGCTGTTTCTGCCATGACTGATTCCGATTCAGAGGGATGCTTTGTGCTTCAGGAAATACTGCTGGAAAGAATTCATTCTTTCAGTTATTTTAAAAAAGCACTTTCGCAAGGTTGTCATAGCTTTTACTTTCAAGGGAGAGACTAAATATGTCTTTTATGAAATCTTGGCTCATTTAAGTCCTGAAATTGAGAAAATTTTATTGCTTGTTGATTTGTTTAAAAGCTTGGGCAGAGTAGCAACTTCCCCAAAGTAAGAGTTGGCAAAAAGATGCTGAAATTTTAAACAATTTAGAGGTGACACAGACATGGCTACTCTTTTGTTCACAGAAAACAATAAGAAATATCTTAATTTCTGGAACACTAAGTGAATTTTTGACTTGGAATCAACTATATAAATTGAGGACAGCACAATTAATGTCAGGGAAAAAATCTAGTGTTAGCCTTCAGATGAAATTTGTTATCTGTGTTTGTTAATAAACCAAAATATCCCCTCCAACATAAGTGAATAAATACATAGATGAATAGACACATAGATTAATAAGTAAATAAATAAAATATACAAATTAGATGTCAGTCTGCTTTCTAGACTAACCCACGTGAGAACACAAAAGTTATTGTCTTGAAACTAAACAGTACTTTTTGATTTATTGTATGTTCTGAGTCTTAGGCTGGCTGTTTTCTGTACTTCTGAAACATTCAGTTCACTCTAATGTAGTCAGTGTTATTAGGAAGGCATTTGATATTCTGCAGCTGTGCAGTTATATGGCTGCCAGACCCACAGTTGACTGCAGCGTTGTCACAGAAACCAGGAATCCTCTGAAAAGAAATCATTCTGGATGGATCTCTCCAGCCCACAGAGAAACCAGTTAATCTCATTAGACAAGGGGTTAAAATCTGTTTGCTAGGAAGGCTCTTTGCGCTGTCACCTGCAGGAGAGTTTTAGTGGTTTTAAGTAGCATCTAAGCCCAATAGCATTCCATTTAATAAAGTTAGAAATTTCCATGTGGTATGACCATCGTCTCAAGGTGAAAGAAGAGACTTCATTCTTGAAAGACAAGAATGGATGTTTTATTTCATCTAGTTCACTTACTATTTAGTTATTCAGAAGCACTTAGATGTCATAATAAATTCTAGCTTTTTCTCATCACATGAAAAATTCCTTGAAACATCTTTCTTCTCCTGTCACTTAGGACTTCCAAATGATAGTATTTGTCAGGAAAATTCCAAATGAAAAACTGCATTGTAGAATCTCGAATATCTTTAACTGAAAAATTTGACACAGAAAATACTCTTTCAATGAAATTTTTTTGCATGTATTAAATGAGGTGAACTTGTGATAACTGTATGCCATTTGATGAATTTACAGTCTAAAAAATTAAAAATAAGTTCTGCGAACATATGGTAAAGCAGAGACATTTTGGCTAGGAATAGTAGTCAGAAAAAAGAATCCACGATTCTTTAAAAGTCCACCCTTCCCACTCTTCTTAAAACAAATTCTCTTTTTAAAAACATTCTGTCTCAGCTGGTATAATTTTACATGCTAAACTGTCACACATTTTTTTCCTATACTAGGTGACTGATGTGCTGTTTAAGAGGGACGCTATGCCGCTTCAGTTACTTTTCAGTTAAGACCTTTTTAGCGTTCTCAGGAAGTAGAGATTCTCAGTTGGAGTCACTTGAGAAAAGTGGTGTCACCTCACAAGGAATAGCCAGGTGTCAACGCAGGATGCTGTGGGTACTTCTGGATAGGTACTGATGACGCTGCCAGAATCTTAACCTGGATTGATGTAGTTACGTATTCGTCGATTTGTTTACAATTCATTCATTCATCTATGATTCCACTTGCACAAGGCCAAGGAGAAACACGAATAAATTAATTTGGCAATGATTTATTGCTTCTTAGCTTGAAAAGAATATATTGGCTTTGAGAACTGAAGACAAGTGAGATTTAAAGCCCGTAGAAAAATACGGAGGGAGAGTCAGCCCTCATTTTATTTATGATCGGCTCACTAGATTACAAATTGAGAGATCTACCTCTACTTTGTCTTCTGTAAAATGGGGTTTAATTCCTCTTACATCTTTGAAGAGGTACCCTTTTGGAGATTTTATTTTTGAATGTATTTGAGATCTTAGTTTTAGTTAACTACATTATAATTAAGAACAATGTTGTTACCTAACCAATAATAAATCATTCTAATCTAGGTATAATATACACATATTTATATGCATATTTATATATGTTTTATGTATTTTTTGAGTTTAGCTCAATAAGTTGTAATTATTGTGATTTGTTCAATATTGCTACATGATGAAAAATGGGAAATTCTTTATCACATACACACATGTTTATATTTTATTGTGACCCTGTAGAATTAGTTTAGCAGATCATAATTGTAATTTAGATTCAATGTCTCTGTCTTCGTATCTGTCTTTAGAGCTAGAACATTTCCATCCACATCTTTCTCACCCCCACTTTTCTGTTCTCGTGCTGGCAGTTAAACCTCAGAAGCATCCACCCACTTCCAGGACTGTGTTCTGACCTCTTGTGTTAGTTTTCAGCATCCTTTGCTAAAACCCAAAGAGGTCACATTCTGTGTGAGTGATAGCCTTCCTCAAAACCCATAAGATGTAAGATAAATTCCCACAGGGTATTTATATTTTAACACTGCCTGGTTGGGTTTTACTGGGGGAAAAAATGTGGCAAAAATATGCTTCTATTATTTCGCCACAATGTCCTTTTTTTTTTTTAATAAAAAAATAACACAAGCTCATATAACTTGTGCTAGGCAGCTCTACCTAACCTCTGGAATCTCTTGCTTTATAAGATTTCTTCACAACTGTGCAGACTGGCAGTGTATCAAACAATTTGCATTTAAACGTGATGATCAGGAAAAAGAGACTCTTTAAAATACAAAAGCTCAGATTAAGAATACATTGGACATGCAAATATGCTGATTTAGATGCAGAGGGCGAATTCTAACAGTGAGCGACTATAGAAATTAGGGCTAACGCTTTTCCTGAGTGCCCAAAAATGTAGAATTACAATTGAACACCTATAGAAATAAATGTGACATCCAAATGGTTACCAAATGAATATATTATGCTCTGTGATGTTTCACTGAATCCTAAATGAGTTCAGAATGATGACATACCAAGAGGTGCTGGAGTACTTCAGACACACTCAGTCAAATACGTGTGGTTAAATAAAAATCCGTGGAATGTTCCTTATATAAATGAGTTTTTCCTGTTTAGAAGGAAAGTAGAGCAATTTGGTTTTTTCTTATACAGACTCACCACAAGTAGGAGTTTACTTTCAGCAACTGGCTCTAGCTTTTAAAGAAACTCTCGTGGTTTCAAAGTTACTCTGCAATATTTTCAGATTCTGATGTGGTAAGGTACCATCTCGCCTTCACTGTGTCCTGTAGCATTTCTTAAGCTACATTTTCTGTATGTAATAGGAGAAGCAGCAGTGACCTGGATAAGTGGGCTAAAGGGCAGAATAAGTTTATGCTACCAAACAGCTTTCCAGCAAACTGGGGAGCTGGGATGTTCTAATTAGTTGAATATGCTGGTTAATGTTGTTTACCATATATACAAGAAATCTTTAATGTTCTACATTTGGATTACATTAAAAATGCACTTAGATTCCAAGTTCCTACTCTTTTTAATGGGTGTGAATCAATGATTAGGGAGCAAATTTCAAAGAGTGAAGAGTGGCCCCTCTGAGGATGATTTTCCCAGGGCAGAATCTGTCTTCTAACAGCTGTCTGGAGGAGCAGACGCCTCCGAGTGAGTTTCAGCTCCACCTGTGCTGCGACTAAAGCCCAAGACAGAGCTGAGTCCCTGGGGGAAGGTGGCGGGGGTGGGGGGGCAGAGCCTGGGCCGGGAGCTCCTTCCTGGGGCCCGGGGAGAGAGCAGGGAATGTTCCCCACGCCCTTCTCGTGTCTTCTCATACTGTCACCAAGGAATCGGATCCAGGAAAGTCACACAATATTGCACATTCTGAGTCTGCCAGTGACTTGCTCTGAGGCCTTGATGAGGTCACATAACCTCTCCAAGTTTCAGTTTTCAAGCTGTAAAGTGAGATTAAGTGTAGATTGTTGATTGATTGTAGGCTTAGCAAAAACACTTATACTATATGGCACAAAGACTGTGTGACCTGTCAGTGTAGTTGTTACTGTTATTTCTCTGGGTCTCCTTGAAGCGTGGCCCCTCCCATCCTTGGAACCCCCCCACCCCCGCCCCACGCTCCTCCACCACCCCATCTGATTCTCCCTACTTCATCCCTGGTGCATTAGCCCCTGGTGTGTTCATCCCTCCTACAGTCGAGCCCTTTGCCTCAGGGTTCACTCCAGCTGCGCTCTTGATCTTCAAATGAGTGCCTTCTTGTGTTCTTAGCTTAAGCATCTCCACCTCTGTTAGGCCTTCAAATCTAATTATAAAAATAACGTGAGCAATTCTATCAAGTCGCCCTATTTTAATTTTCCCCTGGCAAGTATTGCCATTTCATGGTTTCCTGTTTGTTACATTGATCAGTTGACCGTTTTTGCCCCGGGAGAGTGGACGCCGTAGGTTGGCAGAGTTTGGTTCGCCTCCTCTTCTGCGCCTCCTCTGCCGACTCGGTGCTGGGACACGCTGGGTGTCAGTGAAGATCTGCTGGATGAATACGTTAGCTCTGCAGTTACATCTGTATTGCTTAAGTGTGGGGAAGTCTTCCTTCTCTGTGCAGGCCTTAAACTCTCCCCGTTTAGATTAGGGATTTCAGATCTCTTCAGGATATACTGAGGACGTTTTTCTTTCGGCTGGGAGCTGAATACTAATGACTTCTCCTTTCCCTCACCCTCCTCCTTATTTTCTTCTGTTCCTTCTTTTGTTCCTCCTCCTCGTCCTCCTTCTTCTGGCCCAGTTTACCTTAGTTTGTCCCGAGACTCAGAGTCAGTGTAGAAAGCAGTCATCTGGAGAGTCTGGTCGACAAGGAATAAATTAAGAACAGGAGGCTTGTGAATTCAGGTTTCTGTACAGGGCTCTCAGCAGAAGTGCCGAGCTAGGAACTGCCTCGTGTCCACTGAAAAGACAGCACCACTGAGTACAAAGCAGACAATGCTCTCCATCAGACCCCTGATGGCCTCTTTCTTTTTCAAAGACACATGGAAGCTGCCCAGAGAAACTAGTGGCGCCTCACTCACCAGGTCCCACACTTGCAGACTGGCAGTCCCCTGAACATGGCAGCAGAAATCCGCTGAGATCCTAAAACTGAAAGAGACTACAGCAGAGCTGTTTACTTGGAATGAATGTCTTGATTTAGTCTCTAAATTTGCAACTCATTGACTTCCAAGAACATCTGATTCAGATAATCATATGTGATTAATTCTTTGTATGGAACATAAATTAAGAAACATCCAATATTGACTAATGGGAAAAAGCAATTTCTTCCCTGCTCTTTCCCCTTTAGTAAAATTGAAGAGGTGCCATGTTGGTGGTCTGCCCTGAAGTCCGTCCTGCTCTCAGCCTCCATACAAGCCTCAAAGACTCTGCCCTCCTGATGAATGCTGTCCTGGTCCTCTTCTCCCAGTGTTCTTTCTCTCCTCTTGTATATAAATCCTGTTACCATTGAATGTACTCCTTCCACTGTGGAGGGTGGAGACATGACAGCTTCCAGAATTATGGAATAAGAATATATTAGCTACAACCTTCCTTTAGTAACCTCTCCCCCTATTTTTTTCATCTGGTGCTGACAGGTTAAATCCTTGAGAATCAGACATTCCATTATCTTCCAAAACCATTTTCTGGCACCTTGTATTATCTGCTCATTTTCCGTCTCCCGCCACCACAGCATAGAGAGGCCACATTTTGTGTGAGGAGCAGTATTCCTCAACTCTCACCTGTTAAAAAAAAAAAATTGCACCAGACAAGATGTGCAGAGAGAAGCTGATTTTTTCTGATACTATTTCCAGCAATATGGAAGCCAGCACAGACAGACCAAGTCTGGATATCAGCTCCCCCAAAACAAAGGGCAGGAGTTTTTAAGAGCTGGGGTGGGAGCATGTGTTTGCTAATTGACCTTCACCAAAGGAGAAGTAAACTTTCTCCTATCGTCATGACAAGAGGAAGTTTCACTACTTGGAGCAAAGTGTCCAGGGAGGTTAGACTCCTCCCTGCCCACTGAGCCTGGGAGAGAAGGGTGTTGTCTTCCATGATGTTTACATTCAAGGGCTCCTAGGTCCTTGCGAAAGATTTTTCTGGTTATAAAATGACAAGAGGCTTTGAAAAGAACATATACTTCTCAAATGAAAAAACATTTACCATCACAAGTTTTCTCGAGTGAATGCTCTAAGAAAAACAAGGTCAGGGGCCTCGAGTCTAAAGTTAAGTCAAGCTGCAGAGAATGTTAAGGCCCCTGGTCATCAAATGTGTTTAATTTCCCTTAGGACTAAACTCATGCCCTTTACAAGGAGAAGTTCATCTTGTAACCACATGCCAACAATTTGCTTGTATTTTCTCTATTTTTCTTGCCTGGAATGTTATGATTTTGGCTAGTTTAAAGGTGTGCCTGGCTTAATGGTATATTTATTTTCTCAGCTTTACTTCCAACAGGTCACAGAGATGTTGGAGGAGGCTGTCAAAAAGACATGACCTCTACTGACCTGCCAGCTGGCCCCTGGCGTTGGAGGCTTCCCGACCCCCTCTCCTGTTCTTGGAACTTGTATCTACTTGCTTTCCCGCTCCCAGAAGCTGCTCCAAGGATACAGCCTTGAAATAGAAACATGGTGTTGAAGCTATTAGGGTGAGTACACAACTGAACTCTGTTAAGGTCTCTATATAAACTTTCAAGATTCTGGCAGGTGGGTACGGAGATCAGCTCATCTTACAGCTGCTCAAGACAAGCCTCATGCAAATTCCTTTGTTTATTAAACCTTCCACCTACCAATTTGGGGTGACCTGCCTCTTCCTTTGGTCTCTCCCTGCCCTCTGTGTACTGAGCGGTGGGAGGAGGGAGGGTGTCATTTCAGATTATATCCAGGCAGCTCCAAGGAGGTTCTGAGGCAACAAGAGTGCACGTTCTCAGATTAACAGGACAGTGAATCATGCTGGTTCTTTGCCTACCTTCACAGAAGGTTTTTTTTCATATTAAAAAATTCCATTCCATAGGTACTGATTTTAATCACTATCATTGCCACTTTATGAATGCTTGAATAATATTGCTGGAATTTTTTGAAGATTTATATTATTTTATGTTAAAATAGTAGCCAAGTGGTAACCCTAATCATCTGTAGAAGTTCCTACGTGTATGAACAACAGCTTGGATCACACAATACTGTCAAAGTTTAGAGGTGGGTGTTTCTATGTATCTGCAAAAGCACTGCCTACAAGGGAGGCTAAGGCTTGAGCAGACGTTATAATCTCATCGCTCGTGTCCATGGGGGATTGGTTCCAATAGCTCCCACATATGCTGAGATTCTCAGATGCTCAAGTCCCATTGTTGACCCTCCATATCCATGGATTTCACATCCGTGGATTCAGCCAACCTTGGATGGAAATTTTGATCTATGGTTTGGTGAATCCATGGATGCCAAGCCCAAGAATACAGTGGGACAACTGTATGTTTATTTGAAAAAAACCTGCCCATAAGTGGACCAGGACAGTACAAACCCATGTTGGTCAAAAGTCTGCTGTAATTCATTAAGCTTGCCAACTTTGCCATTTTGCCATTATTAACTGAACTTTACAATCTTTTGAGGTTTCCATTATTTTAAAATTTCTCGTGAAATGGGTTAACACTATTAATCTATAGCAATGCACAGACCTGTACTTTCATTTTCAAAGAGCACAACTGTACTTTAGTTACAGATGGCTACAATCTTAGCCAGTTACATTTTCAAAAAGCAGAACATTTCTCTAAATGCTTAGGGTCAAGTACACTAATGCCTGACAGTGTGTACTCTCAATGGCTTGTGGCAATTATCTGAACCATATTTGCAAATATCAGCATGTGAATAATGCTCACATTTGGTCATTAGCTGAGGGTGTTATTGTCTTGGTTCACCTGCCAAATGTGCAATAAGGAAGGTCACCTTTAGACGGCTATTAAATATTTTCCTTAATGTTCCATTATTTCCAAGTCTGCGGCCACTGTTTTATGCCATGTGGTTATCTTAATGAAATTACTGACTTACAGTTATGAGGTGTCATGTGGCATGTCTAATATTTAATGAATGTCTGACATGACTTGAATGATTTCTGTTCTTGTTGAATTGACCAGTCAGGTCTCCTCAGTACAAGATGTTCTGTGTTGTTCTGTAATAGAAGTCACAGTAAAGAAGAGTGCCCTGGACTTGGTGAGACACGTATGAAGGAAGTGACCAGTGTCCTCTCTGCACAGTTTGGTGGTGAAATGGTAGTGCTCGGAGCCTGTGACCACTGTATGGGACAAAGGTTTGGTTTGGTTTGGCTTGGTTTGGTTTTCAATAAAGAGCACATTGCCTCACACTTTTAATTTCAATTAAAATGAAATTTTGGAATATAAAATTCCATAATTATGGAAATTGTGAAGCAAGTGTGGCTTACACATTTATGCGTGTTTGCTCACACTCAGCGTGAATGGGACTGAAGGAGGGTCCCCACTGGAGGGACCGTTGGTTTTTCTGGTCGGTCTGGGGAAGAGGGGGTGGAGGAGGTATGACTGTACCTTCTTTCCCTTTCTTTCTTCTGCACATCACCTCAGCTTTCTTTTTCCTGCATAATGTGGTGGTCACAGGACCAGGGCTGCAAATCCACCTGCCGAAGACAGAGACAATGAGTCCAAGCAAGGAGCTGTAACTGTGCCTTTAAATTCCAAAGAGCCTGCCAAGGAGGGTTGCGCCCTCGCCCATCTGGCAGAACTGGGATGACCGTGCGTGCAGCTGTACTGCCTGCTGGTCAGGGGGGCCCACTTGTTCGGCACCCACGTAACCTTACCCTGTGTGAATGGGGTGGACTGAGGGGTATACTTGCTAGACCAGCAGAGCGGCCAAGCCTAAAGTCCCTTCCAAAGGTGGAAAAGTTTGGACATAGTTGAAGAGAAGGAGGAACAGTGGTTGAGGGTAAAGGAATGAATACACAGATTATTTAATTAGGGAAATCCAATATTACATGAACACCTCAAGAGAGGCGCAGGGCAAGAGATGATATTGTTTCGTAGCTCAGTTATACTTGATTCCTTGAAGGGTGAAGCTGTATACTGCTGAGATCGCAGCTGCTCTTGGAAGCTCAGAGACAGTTAGAGGGAAGATGGCCTCATTCAGGGCCCATATAGAAATCAAAAGAACCAACATTGTAGCTACCAAACGCACATTCACATTCTAACCATGATTTGGCTGCAGCAAAATGACATTTCTGTCATGATAAATCAGTGTTGTTAATTTACATTTATTTTATTTGTATAGAATTTAAAATTTTGCTTTTGTCTGATTAGTGTTATGTGAATTATAAGAAATACTTTTCTTTTGTTACTCACTCAGCTAACATTAAAACAAAAACAATTAATTCGTGTTGGCTGTCTGCTAGCATATTCTTCCCTTTAAAAGGACCTCGTACCTGTTACGGGTCGAATTGTGTACCACCCAGATCTCATAGGTCGAAGTCCTAATCCTCAGCACCTCAGAATATGACCTGACTTAGCAATAGAATTGGGGCAGGTGTAATTAGCTAAGATAAGGTCATGATGGAGTGGAGTGGGCTCCTGATTCGGTATGACTGGTGTCCCTGTAAACGGGGACATTTGGACATAGGCTCACATACGGGAAGAATGCCATGTGAACATGAAGACGGCCACCAACAAACCAACAATAGGCACTCGGAGCAGATCCTTCCCTCCTGTCCCTCAGGTGGAACCACCCTGCCACATCTTGATTTCAGACTTCTAGCCTCCCAGACCGTGAGACAATATGTTCCTGTTGTTTAAGCCAGCCAGCTCATGGTACTCTGTTATGGCAGCCCTCGCAGCCCTGGACTGAAGTTCTGAAAAGTGTGTAGCTTTCTTCTCCTCTGTAGATTTGCTCAATGTTCTTGAAGCTCTCTACCATGATTAATTGCTTAGTAGAAAATTTTTATATGTATCTGTTTTTAAACCTCTTTTTCTCATTGTCCTATGCATTTACTCATAATGTTATTTATTTAATTAAACTAGAGCTTAAAGAGATCTGATTTAAAATAATTTCCATAATGTCCCTTCCTTTTCTGCCCTCTTTTCTCTTTTCACACGTTCACACAACTTTAGAGAATCAGAAACCTTAGGACCATCACAGAGAAAACTGCCAGGGTATAGTATGCATGAATGTGACACGTGACTAGATTGTGACGAAGCTTATATCAAAGAATGCGAGGTAGAATCCATTACATTCTTTATCAGCGTCATTGGTAAAGTACTTACATAATTGCCTTTCTCTTTTCTTTTCTTTTTATCCTTTCTACCTGTCTGGGCATTGATGCTTGTCTTTTTTCTATATTTCTCTCATTTACATATATTCTTCCTGTCCCAATTCACATACAATCTTTTTCGTGAAAGGTGGTAATTTTGAATGATGTTTTAGAAAATTTCTTGCCTATCATTTGTGTTCCTAGAACTAAAGAAAAATGAAAGGAAGTCAAGAAATTAGTAATACCACCGAAGAGGAAAAAAATGGCCTCCAGATTCCATCATTTCCTGTGCGTTGCCTTTGCTTGTTTCTATGGCAAATGAAAGCAGAATGGAAATTACTCACACTCCACCAGGAACCTGGATGCAAACCCACTTGCAGAAGGTTGGAATAGGAATATCATTAAGGATTCGTTTATTTTCAATGCAAATTGTGGAATCTGAGGAGGACTAGAGGGTCAGAGGGAAAGGGTGTGTTTTCAGTGCTGCCGAAAGCTGTCATGGTGACTGGGAGGCATAGCAACTCACTTATTTATAAAAATAAATCTGAAAAGAGAGTGGGTCAGGCGCAGGTTTGCAATTTTACTCCTGTCACTATTAGATGGATAATATATCCTGAAAAATCTTAGTTGTGAGGATCCTGAAAAAAAAAACTAGGAGAGGACTAGTAATAGAAATCCCTACCTTTGCAAAGGTGGGGACATAAAATATACTCGCCTTCAGATTATTTGAGATTTCTATAACTGACAGTTTTTGGAATATTTTCTAAATTAGAGGAAAGGAGTCTTTTTTGTGTGTGTGTGATTCAAAAAATAACTGTGTAGCGAGTTCTGAATTTTATTAAATTGTGCATTTTGAGTTTTATGATGATACTTTTGTGCTCACCTTTTCCCACAGGTATTCTTCTCCAGCATTAATCTTGTTTATCAGAAACTAAATAAATAGCAAAGACCAGGGAATATGTTAAAATTCAGAGAAGAAAATTAATTGAAAATCAATCTTAAAAAATACGGCAATATTCTGAAGGTAGATGTGCCCTCTCTTGGGTTGAGTGCATTAGGGTAAAGTGTCACTGAGATTAGTGTGGGATTGAAACCCTGCTCTGGACAAAGGAGTCCCTGAAGCTACGGCTGTGAGTTCTGTAAGGGCCAGACCGCAAGGCCCTGGCTCTCAGCCTGAAGCCTAATTGGCTACCCGCCTTCTGTGGGGGATTGTGAAAGGTACTCTTTCACTTCCTCCCATATTTAGACTTTGAACTGGGTTAAAGTTTAGAGGTAAAATTTCCCCCCTAATGGTATGAATTTTGATGTGGATTGATCAGACAGGAAGTTGGTCTCATTGTAAAATACGTATGTGGGTCCCACTGGGAATCCCACCTGAAGATTAGCCGGAGAGGTTCCTGTGAAAGTTTAAGGTGTGAGAAGTGTTAGTGGTTTTCCCGTCTGCGAACCCCACTCCTAGGGGACAGACCAAGGAAATAGGCAAGAAGGAGGCTAGTTGATATTTTTAAGGAACTGGTTACAGAATTTTAGTCAAACTTTGGCATAATTTTAAAATTCTGTGGCATATGGAATAAGAAAGTCTTACAAAATCAAGGTGCTTATAATTGTGTTAACCATTTTTTGTAACCACTTTTAGGGTTTGGAATGAACGTATTTATTGTTTACAGAACAGACACTGCCAGCTTCAGTTGTTGCGTTTTCTGGGTTTGGATTAGATATCACAGGAGTATTTGAAATGTGTTTACTGTGTGTGAAGCACTGTCTCACTGCTCGGTGAAAGGAAAGTTACCTGTCCTAAAGTTGCTTGTAACTTGTGTGTGGAAAAGACACTGAAGAAATAGAGTATTTGGGTGACCATCCCTGCATTATAAGCATTACATATATAAGATGATTTGAAGCAGGAGTTTTGGTCATTTCCAAGGCATGTGAACACTCTAGACATTTATCTTTCTAAAGAAAAATTTTAATTTTGTTACTTTGTTGCTTAAACCTTTTGACTAGCTTTCTCCTCTGTTGTGCGCACAGAATCTTAGATGCCCGTTGGAGGCTGTACCTGAGCTTCCACGCTGTCAGAGACTCTGATACATCCTCCCGTGAGCCCTGTCCTTTCCCTTTAATAGAAAATATTACTGTGCTCTTTTAGTTTCCTCTCCTTGCTCAGCCGTCCTTTCCGAGGAGGCGGCTGTCCTCGCCGCCCTTTCCTTTTTGTGCCCCTGGAGACTCGCATGTTGCATACCTCATAGCAAGTATTCAGTGAATGTTTCTGGAAGGTGTGACTATGAATACCTGTGACTGGTTGCAGTCAGCAGGCAACAAAGCAAAGTCAGAAGGGGATGTTCTGTTCCTCCTTTGTGCTACACCTACAATCCCGTCTTAGCAGGTGCTGGCTGGGGAGAGGAGTGGTAGGATCTCTAGGGCTGCAGGTGTCTCCGCTTTCAGGTTCAGCTCAGAAGTGAGGAGACCAGTAACCGAGACCGGACAGGGCTGAAGATGGGTCACTCAGTTCTGGAGCTGTCTGGGTGTTGAGATTTTCTGAACTCATATGCTTTCTCTCTCTCTCACTCTCTCGTTTTTGTCCTTGGCATAATTTTCATATCCTGTCATGCTGTCCGGTAGCTTTATAGGATTGGTTTAAGCCTACCTTATAACTTAGATTTTCCTCTAAGACTCTTCCTGTTCCAAACAGATACACACACACACACATTCACACACACACACTCTTTCTCACTTTCTTAAACTCTCTGCCCCATCCCAGCTGACTCCCATACATGGCCTTCTATTATTGTGTTCCTGTAACAATTTCCCTATAATGTGATCAGTGAAAGTAACATGTTATATAACCCATTCAAAGTCCCTCCTCACACGCTTTTCTATCAACCACAGTTATGTAGCAACTCAAGAATTAGTTATCTACTGAATTAATTAATGGTTGAAAGGATTGTATAGATGACCAAATAAATGGGTAGATGGATGGATGGATGAATTGGAACAGTAACTGCTTTTTTACGTTATCTTGTTTGCATTCTCTTGTCAACTTGGATTATCCTTACATTCCAACAGTAGATTAGGTAGATAAGAGTAAAAACGCTGCAGGAAAGAATAGCAAAACAATAAGCAAAATAAAATACTCTTATTACAAGCAGTCTGGTGCACAGCCTTAAACTTTTATATTATAGTATTATACAACAGTATATGAATTACTTAAGATATTTCCCTACTTTGTGGAGATTTTTGTGAGGGTTAGAGTAGAGATAGTATAAATTTTAAAGAGGAGACCAATAAAGAAAAGAAAGTAAGTTATTTTAATGCATCATTATGATTATGGTTTTCCTTAAACCTCTTACTATATATTTTATTTAGTGCATGCATAAATTATATCTGTGTACTTGATGAGTGAGTGGATTGATAAGGAGGTATCCTGTGCCACTTGGAGTGGAAAATGTGTTTAATTATTTTTAAAATGTGTGTAGCACCAGAATTCAGCATTACTCCCAACAGACATACATTGATTTAAACAGACATGGAATGGTTGCTTTGATGTCTACTCAAAGGGCCTTCAGGACTCGAGCAGCACAGGAGCTGAAGCTCACTCCAAGAGGGCAGCGTTGTCCCGCCGCAGTGTTGCATAACTGAAGCACGGAGCCCCAGGGTTGTGGCACACGGAGACTATATATGGTGCGTTTGAGATCTGAAACGATGACTTCTTTTTAGAAGACAGCAAACAGCAGATCGGGGAGCAGTGAAGTTTCAGTTGAGTCATCTCACTTGTGACACTTATTTTAAATGCAATCTGTTTAACTCCAAGTATTACCATCTTTAGAAAGTATAGGCCTCTTTTCCAGGGCACTTCTCTTAACCATTTGCAGGGAGCTTGCTGAAGAGCTTCCCAAGAGAGAAGTTCATCTCCTCCGAAGGAATAGACTTTGCCATATTTTTATGGAGAGCATCTTCTCTAAAGAAGGTGACTGTTACCTTTTCTCTGTTGATCATTGCCCCCGCTCTCAGGGAAGGGCTTCCTGCAAGTTCAAGTGCAGCTCTGCGTTCACCATCCACAGAACAAAGATGCCTCAGCATTTTCCCCATGTTCCCTGTGGTAAGGCTAGTTATTTTCCAGCCTTTGGGTGGTTGTTGAGAGTCTTTGCATTGTTGTTGCAGGGAACCATGGCCCCTCACATTTCTGCCCATCTTGCAGAGGCACAGGCTACTTTTGTTCTGCTTTAATTTTCTGAGAATGTTTGTGTTGCAAATAGCCTTAGAAAACAGTAGGCATGTCTACTGCCCATTATAAAGATTCAGGTTCCCTAAGCTGAGGTTTGCCCTCTTGTAATGCAAACCAATGAGTATGCAACACAAGCCATTGAATAAGCAGGTGTCACCTGGCCCTCTGCACATTGCCCTGTGGGAGGTGGGACTCGAGGGCCCTGATACTTTGGTTACTGTTACTGCTGTGACTAATAACATCTTTTGTTTCATATTCAGGAGTCCTGTGTTTTCTGCTAGCATCTGTGGAGTTGTAGCAGGCTCACTTATTAGCCTGAAAATAGGATAACATCTCAGATCCTTCCAGTAAGTGAGAACAGTAAGGTAAGATATATTATTTTAAGCATTGTGATATAGAATTAATTAATTAAACCTTTGGTTTTAACAAATACTTATAAAATATATTAAATGACACTTTAACTGATGGCTGAATTATATGGTAAGTTTAAAATAGTACTAAGAAGAAATGCTTCATTATGACACTATATGTGCATTTATTCAGTGTTACAACGAGGGTAAAATTAAATTTACATAATGTATTGCATAGCTCTTGACAGCCTGCATGTTTCGTTGAAAAGTTGAGACTTTTCTAAGCGTAACATTTTCATCTTGAGAAAGAAGTGATCTTAAATTAAAAGAGTTTTACAGCTAAAAATTTTCCAGTACTTTCCTCATGAAATTCCTCAATTATTTTCTTGTATTTCATGTCCCCAAGAAATTTTTCCCCCCAAGGCATGTTTTCTGAAGTACTCATGCTTAAAAAAACTCCCTATGTTTGTTCACATTCAAATATTCTGCTGAATATTATTTTAAATTCAAGGAACAATTGTAATTGTTTATAAGTTTGGTAGCATTCTCTTAAAATACTTCAGAAGCCTAATTTAAACAACAGTTTTAAATAACTCAAATATAGTTTCATAATAGATGTATTGCATAAAATAAATTTTTTTCATTAAGCACTTTACTTGGATTTAAATATCTTTTATTTCATGCTGTAGATGAAATGTAATTCAGCACAATAATTTTGTTATGCTTTAGATTTAGAATTATCTGAAAATGCAAATTCAGTGAGATATAATAGTGTTCTTTCTCATGCAAGTTTAGATTTTTTTAATAGTGTCTGATAATTGTTCATAGTGATAAATGTGTTTGAGATTAGTGGGTTTTGTATATTGTATAGTTTTTTGTTTCCCTGTTTTTAACACCCTGTCTTTCACAGATTACCTTGGGAGGCCTGTTAGGGGCTGGTAACGTCCACCGTGCAGCGATGAAGCTTCCTCTCGAGAACAAGCGTGCTCTGTTGTGCACTGTGCTTTCTCCTTCTTCATTCCTCTTTGGTTCTTGTTTCTTCCCTACTTCTATTTCCATATTTACCTTACTTTCTTCTTCTTCTTTTTTACACACTAGAAGGGTTGGCTTGTGGCGCTACAGACAGGGATTGGTGGGCGGAGGGGGCAGGGAGACTCCAGAATGCGTTCCCCCAACCCCCGTCCTGGGTGGTGTCTCCATCAGTGACTGTGCCTTCTTGCCTCCAAGTGTAGCCTGCCTTCTGTGGTTCCATCTACCGCCGGTCAACCCTCACACGGTGTTCTGGCCCTGACAGACACTTCCGATTCTTGAGGCCTTAACACCCCCTCCTCTGATGTACCTCCTGCCCTAAAACAGCAGTGCTGCTGCTGATGTTAGTCTCCGGGTTTCACCACCATCCTCTGCTTAGCTGTTCAGCTCACCCATCACTTTAATAATTAGTTCCGTGTATCCAGCTCCCTCTCGTTAACCTACCCAGAATGGCTTCCATTTTCCCTACTGGACCCTGTCAACTCTCTTGAAGGGATAAAACATCTTTTTGGCATTTCCTAGTCAGAGTTTCTTCATTCCTTTTTATTCCTTCCTTCTGGGTTCTTTTCTCGTCTCTCATTTTTGATTCTTTGACTGGCATTGACAGTTTGCACGTAGAATAGACTGTGATTGCAACTACCTAATGTAGCAACATGGAAAACAACGTCAGCTGAATTTATTAACCATCTTATGCATCACAATATAGAATAAGTAAGTAAAACAAAGTCTTTTAAAAAATAGTTCATTAAAACTGTGTCATTTTGTGTGTGTGTGTGTGTGTGTGTGTGTGTAGGTACCGTATGCAGGTACATGATTTAGACAGACGAGAGAACAGGGCACTGAAGTCCAGCTCCAGTCCCAGTTACGCACCTTGCTTTACAGCTTTGGGCTAATTAACCCTTTCTGCCTCTGCTTCTTCATTTCTCGGATTAGCCAATTACCCAAAACTTGGAAAACAGGCAAGGGAAGACTTTTTTTTTTTTTTTTTGGTGTCACACTAGAGCCTTGTGCAACTGGTTCATTCAAGGATTATTATATTGTCTAGGGAAGTGAGTTGGCAAATTATGGTCCACAGGTGAGATCTGCCCAAGGGCCTGTTTGTTCAGCCTTTGAACTAAGTATGGATTTTATATTCCTAAAAAGTGGAAAAAGAAAAAAAGGAAACTAAGACTAATATGTGACAGAGATTTTACATGGCACACAAATACTAAAATATTTACTATCAGGCACTTTACAAAAATCATTTGCCAATCCCTGCTCTGGGGGAATGAACCATTGTGTGATTTACTAGTTACTGTTGATCAGGACTTAAAAGGTAGATGACAGCTTATAGATTGATAAGTTGCAAATGAATTTTGTCCAGTGTGGAGGCAATAGATTTGTGTCTGGTAGGAAAGACAGTCCTAAAGCATGTGGCTGTGGCACCCTCCAGAACATGAATTCATTTCACATATAACTTTGTAATTCTATTTCAGCATCTTCAGTTGACTGTAAGTAGTCCAGTGTCTCTCATTCTCTTTCAAAACAGCTTTAATATCCTGCTGGTTCCCTTATTAAGAAGTCAAATGATTTTGTCAATATGTATTTATTTTATATTTGCATTTGAATGATATTTTAAACTCTTAGAAATGTAAGCTTTGACAATAAATGAGCCACCTCCATCTTCCCTGTCTAGCTATCAGTTCTCTCAGTGTTTTAATACAGCATGATGTTGGTAACTAAGTGTGGATTTTCCTGTATTTCTCATCGTGGAAGCCAGTCTAGGTATTCTCTTAACAGAACTCCAATCAAAGGCATCTCTAAGTTATTCCACGTTCTCTTGTTTTTTTTTTTTTTAACATCCTGTCTGATGTCTGCAATACTGAATCTTTGGAGCTAGTGCTCATCTCCTCAGACCAAGAGTTGTATGTTTATCAAGAGACAGTGATTTTTTCCCTTTTTTCTGTATGTAAGTCTTGCTTATTGTTAGTGAATGATTCAATCAAATAATAAACAAATAAAATCAGTGGCGGGAAGAGAGAGTGAATTTAATGAAGACTACACTGAAGGCTTTGATAAGACTCAACAAAGATGAATTGCTAAGTAATCGCCATGCAGTTGAGTCTGGGTGAAGCAGTGGCCAAAGGCTGACGTGCGTGGCTGTGACTGGGCTTCTGCTTGGAAGTGCACAGTTTTTAAACACCAGTGCTCCTTGCAAGCCCCTCTGTTAAATGTGAACATCTCCGTGTTCATGGCTCATAACAACCAGAAAGCTTATTACCTTTTGTGTGATATAGTAATAACGGGGTAGTTACATCTTCTTCTTAGGTGGGGATTAGGGCTAATGGGAATTAACTGGGGTGAAAATCTCAGTCACCAGGTGACTAGATTAGATACTACTTACTTATTTACTTCTGTATTTATTTTTGTGATTCCCCACTTTAACTGGTCCTGATCCTGTTGAACAAGGTGTTGATGCAGTCAAATAAGGAGCTTAAAAAGCACAAAGATGTTTAAGCAGATTTGATCTCTGAGATTTAAAAAATCTGAGTTTATGAATGTTACACAGCTTCTGCCTTCATAGGACACTTGGATTATTATCAGCTCTCATGGAACATTTAACAAGGTATCAGTATGTTGTCAAAAGACAAACTTAAACCCATCACAGTCCCCTCCAGTGAGAGCATTGTATACCAAATTAATGTATTTTTTAAAAGTGAATGTGAATATAAATTATAATATATGATTCATACCCTAATAAAGGTACAAAATTGATTTATCTGGTGAGCCTTGATTAAAGGTTAAAGAGATAAAGAGTGATGTCAGTGGTGAAAAAAGACATCTTGGAAAGGAATTCAAAAGGCCAGAGTTTAACCAAGTTGTTCAAGGGGTGAGATTTCTGGCAGAAGGAGCAAAGGTACATATACTTGATCATGGTGTAGCCAGTTAAAATATTTCATATTATTGGGATGTAGGTGGTGTAGAGATGAGGAGTAGATAGTAGATGCGAGGTGAGGCTCAAAAAGAACACAGGAGCTATGTTATGAAGGGGTTGGCATGCACGACTAAGAAGTTTGGAAATGAGTGTCCATTAAAGGTTTAGGTAAGAGGGTGACTTTCCATTCAGAAAGCTCTGACAAAATACAAAAGTGGATCACAATGTGTTAAGACCAACAAAGGGGGTGCCAGTTAGATGGCTGTTGGAAAGGCAGAGGAAACTATGGGGCTCTGATGTACAGCGGTGATCGTGGTGATGGGAACCCACCAAATCAGCAGCATCTACCAATTAATTAGACCTGAGGCTGAAGGAGAAACGTTCAGATGACTCATTGATTTCAGGCTTAGGCATCTCGGTGATGAGTGGCTGGTAAGGGAAGGAATGCTAGAGGATATCAGAGGTCTTACTGCCCGAAGGGCACATCATTTTCGATGATGAGATGTTTGTGTAGCAGGCAGATGGGGATGTCCATCTGGATTAGACAAACCCGGTCCCCCTCACTTGCATGACTCTGGGAGGGACAGGGTCATATACTTTTGTAAAATGTGCACCATGAGCTATCTCAGCCTCTGCTGTCTATGGCTGCTGCCCTTCCCTCTGACTTCTCTTCCCTGCACTCTCCTTCTCGACGGTGGCTGGGTGAGTGTGGGGCGCTCCGACTGAAAGGTGTGGAGGAGAGACTAGTTTAGGTTTAGAATCAAGTGTGTGGGAGGTTTACAACCCTGGTGCTAGCCATCCTGGCTCAGGAAAGGCTTTCAGACACACGTGTATGGTCCCCAGTGCCAACTCACCTGACCTTAGGATGTGAAGGGGCAGGGCTGTGTCCCAGGTTGCCTGGCATAGAAACACGTGGGTCACAGAGGAGAAATAAAATCTGAATGGATGGAACCACAAGACGTTTTATGAAAAGTTCTTCTAGTCACCCAGATGTGAAAGCCTTTGAGTGGAAGATATGGCTTTTTATTAGTGCTTGATCAAAACAGCAGCTCTTTTCTTATACGAATATATTTGATAA